GGTGTGCACTATATTTACGTATATGACTTTTTCACTGAATTTATTAAAGATGGATATGCAGCACAATGAATATTAGATTATAAGTGGATGGAGAAATTTAATGGAGAGTTAGATGATTTGCACTTTCATTAATGAATATAATTTTAGTACAATTGGATATTAATTAGTGATTAATGCAAACCCACTTTTCTTATTACTCGAATCATTTTCCTCAAACTTCTAATTATTACTTACCCCATATTATCACGTTGTAATATTGTTAATAAAGATTTTTTTTTTCCTAACTTCAATCTCAAAGTTGGTTCTTCAAATTTTTACTTATGTTTTTACTAGAACGTTGGTTCGAACCCGTCTCTATTTTATATGCAATCACTAATTTTATGTATGGGTAACAATTTAAGCCCACGATAACAGATATTGTATTTTTTGGACTTTCTGCTGAACGTTTCTTGGCTCAAGGTTATCCAAGCTCATGCCTAGCATACATTGTCCTCTTTCGGCTTTCCCTTTAAGGGCTTCCTTCGCTCAAGGTTTTAAAATGCGTTTGTTAGAAAGAGGTTTTCACACCCTCATAAGTATCCTGTACTTAAGGTTTTAAAACACTTAGGTAAATTTTTCCAAACCCTTATAAGGTAGCCTAGCATCTTCGCTAGCACACTATCCGAAACCTGGCTATGATACCATCTATGACATCTCAAGCCCACGCAAATATTGTCTTTTTGAAGCTTTCTCTTCGAGGGATTCCCCTCAAATATTTAAAACATGTCTATTAGAGAGAGGTTTTCACACTCTTATAAAGTATGCTTCGTTTCCCAATCCAACCAATGTGGAATCTCATCGTTTGTATCCTCAACATCATCACTCACAACGACTAAGATCATCTTCAAATCCGATAAAATCAATTCGATCGCATCAATTGAGTGAGACTCTTACAAATACGATTTACACCCACAATCAAATTTTGTCTTAATATACTATAAATCTTATAGTTCTCGATCGAAAATATTGCATATCATACTATCATATATAGAATATAGAGCGATACATTATCTTTAACATCAAGTTTGTAATGAACTCTAAACTTATTTTTGGGCATCAACAATTGGGTAAAGTTCATATCTAAAATTACAGCTCCCACCAACCACTCTTCCACCAATTTTAGCATCACAACAACTTGGAAGCTCACCAATGGCAATCTCAAGGCACTTCTTACAACCACCACTCGGTAGGTCTCTGGTGCATTGAACCAATCCATACAACTTCTCCGATGCTTTTATCTCCACATCGCCAATCACATACAAATTCCTCGTAGCTTCAACTTTTTCAGATAAACTAGTCAACAATCTCTTGACTTGTTCATTAAACGCCGCCGGATCATCGCTTTCTTCTAGATTCCACATATAGAACTTGTTCCTATTATCTATCTTCCCAAAGAATTTAGTGTTAGAATATTTCAACACACAAAAATCATACCATATGGCAGCTCCTTTTCCATAAGGGCATCGTTCTCGAATCTCTTGGCTCGCCGTGGCGACGCAATTCTTACAATCGGCGGATGAGACGTCGCCACGGCATAGAGCCAACCCGTTGACTTGGTTTTGTAAATTGTCTTTGCCAACCGAGCTGAGGCCGAAGCCGGAGGGAGGGGCATTGGAGGCTAATTGATCCAAGGCTTGGTTTAAGTTAGAAGCATAGGGGGTGTGGGCTGTGTAATTGTCGAAGCTTGAGCATATATGGAACAGAAATGCACTGTCAGTGACGATGTCATCGCCAAAGGCTAAAGGAAGAACGAGAAAGAGGCCGAGAAAGATGGTTGGTGTTGATTGCTTCATGGTTTGAGAGGTTTGGGCTATTATCCATTATATATATACATAAATATTTATTTTCTTTTTAATATAAAAACAAAAATTGGATTACCCCAGTCCAAAGTGAAAGTAGTGAAAGATTCATTATTTGGTCAGCTAAATATATAAATATATAAAATAATAAAACTATTTGGTCAACGAAGGTTGTATTTGGTCAAAAATGGTGTCGAAATTGTTGACTTTGATTAGTCATAATTTTGATGAATAATGTAGGGTGTAAATTCTTTTATATCCTACCGGTGAGCAAATTGTTTCGAGATTTAAGCAATTAACACTCTTTTAAGAATAATTTAGATATATCTATTTGACGTCATCTGAATCTTCTAAAAAAAAATGCTACTTTTTGTCTCTGTCACTGCAATATTTAATATTTATATTTAATTAAAATGTTAGAACTTTTAATTCTGTCATCAAGTAATAATTAATTTAATTTTCGAAAATAAAACATAACTTTTATTTATTTATTTTATTATTATTATTATTATTATTATTTGCTACTTCATGTTCTGATTCCAGTCAATCTAAGAGAACGTGAAGTCAACCTTCTAGAAGGAAATTGAAATTATCACTACCCATTAATCTTTATAATGATTAAAAAAATTGTTAGAAGATGGAAGTTTATGCGTAATGATTTAATATTTTTCTTGGTTTTACTTTTAAAGTTTGCAAAAGATCTCATAATAGGAATATATACCAACGATATTCTTCTTAATTAGCTAATTTGAAACTTCAACATTTTCTCAACAAAGAACAACTTCTTGAATGGAATCCCAGTAATGCTTATCTAAAGTCTGTTGCTCGTAGCTGCATGTCCATACAATGTCGAACTCATTATTTTTTTTTTTCTTATTGTATTTTTTGTTTGCATGATCATTAAGCAAAGTCATGTCTAAGATTGTTAGATATGAATCACCTCAAACTGTATTATATAAGGAACAAGTAGGTATTGTAATCTCTCTTGTCCACATGTATGGAAGTGATAGAATAGAGAGATTTCAAAATCCACGTACCCATCATAGAGAAATTAATCCACTTGATAACTCTATTTTATTAGGATCGTGACTTAAACGCATTCCAACGAATCCACGTAGAGATAGAGAAACATGTGAGCTTAAATCATTAGTTTTTATTCCATATATTAAATATATACTTATTTTGCTTATGAGATCTTTAAAATTTATTTCTGGGCATCAACGATGGGGTAAATTTCATATCTGAAGTTGCAGCTCCCACCAATCACTCTTCCACCAATCTTAGCATCACAGCAATTGGGAAGCTCAGCAACAGCGTCACTAAGGCACTTCTTGCAAGCGGCGCCAGACAGGTCTCTTGTGCATTGGACCAATCCATACAACTTGTTCGAAGGCCCTTCAATCCCCTGTTCTCCAATCACATACAACTTGGGCGTGGCTTCCACTTTTTCAACCAAACCACTTAGCAAGTTCTTGACTTGTTCATTAAACGTTGCTGGGTTTTCTGCTTTTTGAACATTCCACATGTATAGCCTTACCCCATTATCAATTTTCCCAAAGAATTTGGTGTTGGAGTATTTCAGCAGACAAAAATCATACCATATGGATGCGCCCTTGCTATTTGGGCATTGTTGTTGAATCTCGTTACTTGCCGTGTCGATGCAGTTCTTGCAATCAGCGGGCGAGACGTCACCGCGGCATAGAGCCAACGCGTTGACTTGGCTCTGTATGTCGTCGCCGACGGAGCTGAGGCCGAAGCCGGAAGGAGGGGCGTTTGAGGCCAACTGATAGAAGGCTTGTTTCAAGTTGGAAGCATAAGGGGTATTGGCTGTGTAATTTTGGAGGCTGGAACATGTATGGAAGAGAAATGCACTGTCAGTGACAGCGTTTGAATCGGCAAATGCTTGTGGGGAGAGGAGAAAGAGGCATAGGAGGAGATTAATGGAAATGCTTGATCTTGAATGCCTCATTGTTTGAAAAGGAAGGAAAATGCAGAGTGGTTTGGCTTGGTATTTGTGTCCTAAATTATCCACTATTTATAGAGTTTTTTAACCTCAAAAGTCATTTTAATATAATTCTTCTAATATATATATATATATAGCTGAAATTGTTGACTTTAGGAATTAATTGGGTGTGTTAGAATGAGATTGAACAATTATAGGGCATACTTTTCTACTATCATTTTCGTATATTCATTTTTATTCTAAACTATCAATTTTATTGAATATTATAAATATCTTTTAACAAAGTTATCGTGTTTAATGAACCAACATAAGTAATAAAATTGATAAAATTTTAGAAAAAATGAGGTTAAGATTTTTCTATATTAATGATATAAACTTATATAAAAATCTTCTTGACACATGTTCTCCTCTCTCCATCTAGAACAAGGTTCACTGTTTTAGATTGGTGGAGAGTGGGAGAGGAGGAAGAACGAAGAGACAAAAAGAGAATAGTGCAAACCACGACAATAAAGCTTAGAGAGAAAGTGGAGTCAAACATTCTAGAAAAAAATTGAAAAAAATTAAGAATTAACATTTCATCTCGATACTAACATATCGCTGTAAGAACATTATTAAATTCATCTTATTTCTCTTATTTCTAAGACTCGAACCTATTACATACTTTGTACCACTTATAAATTATAAATACGGGTCTATCAATGATAAAATCCATTAAGCTCAAAAAACATGATATCATATATTGAAAAAAGATGAGCGACTTATTCTAATAGTTATATAATTTCAAATGCGATTGATTTAATCAACTTTAATCAACTCAGATGGATTGATTTTACAACTTTAATTAATCCCAATCCGACTATTTCTTACTTTTCAAGCAAAGGATATGGTGGAAATATGGATCTGTTGATCTATTTTGAACTCATCCAAAATGAGAAATTTTTATATTTATAAACATTGTTCTTAATTGAGGAACAAGTAATCAAAATCTCAAGTTGTATTATGTTGATTAGTCTCATAATGTAGTGGGTTTAATGTTGGTATGCCTAATTCAAGGTATATATGCACAAGCAGCCCCATTAATTCATAAAATTCATGCACTCTTTTTTATCTAAATCATTTTATTATATAGTTTATTCTAATGAATTTCTCGATGAACGGCAGTTTCTAAAAAGACAAAATACAGAAAAAAGAGAGAAGAAAAAGAAAAAGATAAGAATCTCTTCTAGCATAAGTTATGTTGATGTGCTTTAGCGTTGAAAATGGCGCATTATTATACATTCTTATTGATGGTTAAAAAAGAGCTAACCAGGAGAAATATTTACATGGCTAACCAAAAAACAACTTCATCCAAAACATCAGCCGACCTGTTAAACAGAAAATGAAAACTTGTACCTCAGAAGATGACCAACCTCTGCTGCCAATTCAAAAAAACCAGAAGAAACTCCAAACTGTGTTCTTTTTACGTATATCTCCCCCCTCCTATTACTTTCTCCCTTGCCTGGGATTACAAGACACAGAATCTGTTAGAAGACACACAAAACCACCCAAGCTTTTCAGGAAAATATATTGAAAATTAAGTTCAAGTATACAATGTCAAACACATTTCGACTACGAGTCAAACGAGGTCAAATGGAGCAGAGGAGTAACTGTCTCCCTTTCTTAAGATTACAGATTCATCATACAAAACTCCTATCTAGTTTTGCTAGGCAGTGCATTAAATGAATTCAAGGAATAGAATGACTAAATCCTTGAGAGTTCAAACAAATAGAGAATTGAACATAAAGATTTCCTAGCTTGTTTTGTCAGGCAGTGTCATTAGGTGAAATGAAGGAATAGAATGGATAAATAAATACTTAAGAGTTCAAACAAATAGTCAGCTTCATTCAGCACGAAAATCTGAGATTTTGTATTGTATAAATAAAAGTTCAGAAGAAAGTAATTTCCAACATCTGCAGAGAAATTCATAACAATAGACATATTTACACACATCCCACAAGAACACACCTCAAAAGAGCATTCACGCTCCAAACGTTAAAAAAAACGAGGGTCAAATTAGCACATCAATGCGTAGAAGTTCTTGTTCCTGAAATTAATTCCATTACCGATAAGTTTCAATCAACACATAGTAACAAAAACGCAAAATTACCTTAAATTAAGAAGGCAGGGCTGCACAACAAAGTTCACATGGCTTTAACCCGCTGAAGAAACCATTGGTGAAATTTTATATAACTCTGTCCTTCCCAAACAAACTAACAAAAATTGTTAGGAATACATAGATATTAATTCCTCAACTCCACATTGTCTGACTTCAAGAAGCATCGATTCCTTGGAAGAAGAAATGACATCACAACATTGTCTACGTGGGGCCTTCATCTGAAACAGGGGAAATTAAATTAAACCATAAGGGCAATTATGAAGATTGCTATTATAGACATGATTAAAACCAAACCAGTTAAAGACGGTTAGAAAACCTCTTCCACATCAAGTTCCAACTTCTGGGAGAAAACACGAATCTGTTTTAGGTTCTTCATTGCACCAGACGCTGGACAATCAGTGACTATCTTCCTAGTATAGTTAGTCAAGGCATTATTTTTACTAGATCTTAAATTCTGCATATAGAAGATATTTCTTTTACAAGGATCTTTAGGGTAGCCTCTCATATTAAACATGTATCGATTTGCATCAACGGTAGCAGCCCTCCTCCATGGCATAAAAGTTCTTTGCAGTGAAAGTAGGTCGGGGAGAAGCTGATTGCCTTCGAAGACCTGAATAGCAAAACCCCACGATACGGAAATAGTCAATGAATGAGAACGATCATAGCACACAATTTGCTGGAAAATCCTGCCAGGATCCACATTCACTGCTTCAAAGAGATGGTGCACGGCCTGAGTGTTATTCATGTTTGGGAATATCGGATCCGTGGCATCCAAATGATGTAGTGAAACTATCGGTGACAATGCATGTGCAGATAGCAATCCAAACAGATTTCCCCGCATATCGACCTAAGGGAAATATGCAAAGCAAATAAGCAATAAATTGGCAGCCAACCTAATTGTGTTGTAGATCATTTGTCCCAATTCCAGTAAAGCTGCCTAAAGAATGAAATTTCACCAAATGATACATATTTTGGTAAAATGAGGTCATTTGAGAAATTTCACCAAACGAATGCGATAAAATACTCAAATATCTTACCTGATGAAATCCAGGTTCGTGAGTTAAGCCAACTCCAAGCTCCACCAAGCAGGACCATATTCTAGCATCACTTCCATACAAATGCCCGTATCTGGTCAAGCACGAGTCCAAAACCCCAGCCAAAACCCTAGCCAGCGAATGGCTGACCGCAAAGCCTCCGCCACCAAACGCCATATCGAACGAGTTTTTCAAATTCTGTCCATAACTCTCCGAATTGCTCCCAATATAATACCAACGCTCATGGTCATATTTCCCCAACGTCTTGACCAGATTATCCACAAAGAACAAAGTATCGTCATCCCCAAACACATACCACCGCACATCCGGCTCATTCAGTTCAACAATTTCCTTAACCACTCGCGCCACTCTGACCGCCGATCGGAGACCTCCACGGAAGGTGTACGGAAACCTAGAGGTGTTGTTCGAAACAATCACCGGCGGAACGTAAGGATCGGCAAAGGCGAAATCAGGCGCAATGCGATCAACGAAAGCGAAAGCACGCGTAGAATTACGCCGGTACCAGAGACGAACATAGGGCTTGCGGCGAGACCAGGACAGAGAAGAAGTAGCGATGGCAAAGAGAATGTGGCGGCGTGTGGTAGGAGAGAGAGTAGAACGAGAGCATAAGAGCGACGGCGCGTGGGGCGAGGAGTTGAAGAAGAGAGTGTAGATGATGAAGGCGGCGGAGAGGAGGAGGAGGACGGTTTTGGCGGTGGATAGACTCGGGGTCTTGAGGAGTCTGAGGGGCATTCTGGGAAAGAGAGAAGTGAGTCTATGGCGAAAAGCAGCGGTTTGCTTGTACTTCTTTTTCTGCAACATTTGAAACTGAAAATGATATTAAAGAACGTCGAGAAGTTTCCAGAAAAGGTAACTAATGACACTGAAACGAATCTCTTTCCCCGCTACGGTTCTTGCTTATATATCGACGGTGGAGGCCCACTACAATTTTGGGCCTAATGGGCTCACTGTGACTTTATGGGCCGAGCTGAAGCATACATTTATCATCTTTTCCTAATGGGCCTATTGGGCTCACTGGCTTTATGGGCCTCTTGGGCTCATCGCCACTTTTTGGGCCGGCTGAACCATACATTTATCATTTTCCTTATGGGCCTACTGGGCTCACAGTAACTTTATGGCCTATTGGGCTCACTGGGACTTTTTGGGCCAGGCTGAATCGTACATTTATCATTTTCCTTTATATTTCACTTTTTTTTTTTTTTTTCAGTTTTATTCGCATTTCTATTCAAAACAATTTTATAGTGATGATTGAGATAAGACAGGCGTATGATTTAAACATGAATAGGACAGCGTGTTTGCCACGTGTACATACACGTGGCAATATTCATGAGTCTTACTTGAAGGCAACAAAATAAAGACACAGGGCCCGCTTTATAATAGTAACACATTTGAATACGAACACGTCACAAGCGTGTCACGTGAAACTACCATAAAAAAACATTTATATTATAAAAAAAAATCATCCTAAATTCTAGAGCTTTTAATTCCACTCACTCAATCTGATTGTGTCACAAAGGCCGCACCTTTCATTTTTAGCCATACAAATTTTGGGACACTATCCACCGTCCAAAAGAAATTTTTAAATATTGTCTTATTGATTTATTTATTTATTTATTTATTTATTTCAATTCTAAAAGATAATAATCTTTTGTCGTTTTTTTAAAAATAGCAATCTTCTAAACTTTTCAAACTTTTTTAAAAAGAAATTTAGCTAAGACAATATGAAAATTAGAATACAGAAATTGGGAGAAATAAACATAAAATTATTATCGAAAGAACCGTAATTTTTTTTTTTTTTAATTTTAAAAACTTTCGTTTATGTCGTTGAATTTTTTTTATTAGTTATGCCAACACAATACTTATATGACAAATTGACCTAAAAACTAATGGGTGGATTTAAAAAGGAAATAAGAGTAGAAAAAAACAAAATTAATTAATTAATTAAAAATTTTGAATAATAGTTTTGGAAAAGAAAACAATAACAAAAAAAACTCAATTATTACATTAGAAACTTGAAATTTATGATTCATCTAAATAATAAAACCCGCGTGATTGATTCCAATCATGAATCTTTCTTTTTCTTCTTTTCCTTTTCTAAAATCTTCTATTTATATGTAACTCGCTGCACTCAATCGAATTAGCTTCCAAGAAAGAACAAAGAAAGGAGGACAAATGTGCAAAGGAGTAGGACATGAAGAAACCCAAGCCACCGTCCAGCGGCGGCGGACTACCGAGATGGCGAGGGCGAAGGGCGGTGGAGGCGATCCAGAACCGTGCGAGCTCTGCGGTTCGAGGGCGTCGCTGTATTGCCAAGCGGACGAGGCGTATCTGTGCCAAAAGTGCGACAAAATGGTTCACAGCGCAAATTTCTTGGCGCTGCGACACGTACGGTGCCTGCTGTGCAACACGTGCCAGAGGCAGACGCGGAGGTATCTGTTGGGAGCGTCGATGGAGGTTGTGCTTCCGAGTATTGTGAGCAGTTCATCGATGGACAGGAATTTCCAAAATGATTCAGATGGTTATGATCAAAATTCCTCCCAACTTCTGAAAACTCTTTGTCTCTTTCTCTAATCTCTTCTTCATTTCTTTAGTTTAGGACTTTGTTTTCACTTGGTGTTGGACACACTCAAGCCGACACCCAAAGTTTCTACCACCTTGGAATCTCATATATCCTTTATTTACACTGTACTCTATCTTTATAAATATATGTATGTATGTATGTATGTATGTATGTATGTATTGGGAGATATTTACCTTTCCAACCCTTCATGCACTTGTACAATATCGTTTATTCACAAGTACCATACAAGAGTGGGTTGAGATGCCCACCGAGCCAACAAACATCAAGCAAGTATATTGACATATGCGGGTCAAACTCAAGGGCCAAAAGAGAAAAGTGTCAATTAGAGTTCAAATGAACGCTACACGAGCCCTGTGCATGAATGAATAGAATAAGTGTCATAAATGGATATTAGGGTAGGCACACTACCTTGGGTCATGATGTGATGCATGGTCTAAGCGAGCCACCCTATAACATGAGCCACTCTGTTGACATCTGTGTGGAACTTAAGGAATGTTACAAAAGGAGTATCACACTTGTGTGGAACTGTGAAATAACGTGGACAAACATTACAAACGGAGTATCTCAAGTGACGATGAAAATCCAAGGATAGCGACAATGGCTTGGCATCCTGTCTTTTTAAGAGGTTGTCATGTCGGCCATACTTGGAGATAGTAGGTTAAATGGACAGAGCAGGAATATAAGTGTTACAATAATACCTCAATGATGTGTAGATGGATAGATTGCCTGAAGGGCCTCTCAACAAGTAGAAATGACCCAAGAACGGATTCTTTGTTAATGCACCTAATTGCATAATGAAGCTGGATGACATCCTACCAAAGAGAAGCTTGTTCACGGTTATTTCAAATCCTCGCATCACTTCCTAACTACCACAATATTCCATATAATTTACCATACTAGTTAAGGTCTATTTTTTTACTTTATAAAATTAAACTTTTCAACATTACTTCTACTGTGATTACCCCGAGTGCTTCTTTACTTTGTTATCTCCCAACAAAAAGAAAAAAAAAAAAAAAAAAAAAAAAAAAAAAAAAAAAAAAAATTATGTATTTGTATATTTATATATTTATATATAACAGAGGGAGAATATTAAAATGTTCCTAATAAAATTATATAGTAGTTTGAATAGAAGGTTACTGAGAGCCCATTTTCTGACGTTCTTCATTCCAAAACTCATGAATCTCTTACAACTCTTGCAAGGCAGTTGTCTGTAGGAGTTGGCAAAGGCAGGTGATTCTCTGGGCAATTTGGATTCACTCTCTCAAGTCTGCACAACAAAAATCAAATTTCTTGTAAGCCGAGCTTTGATACCATTTNTAAATTACACGCTTAGTTTTTTAAGTGTATAAAATTTTAATATTGCTATACATTTTTAATTGTCTAATAGGTAATATGAAAATGACAATCAAAATCTGCCATAAAAAAGTAAAATGGAGGGAGGTCGCCGATATCTGATATGCAAATAAAACTGGAAATTACAAACGAGTTCAATAAGACCCATAAAAACCCCATCCTGCGAACTCCATGAAACCAATTTCACTAGACTAAGGTCTAACAATTGTTCTACCATCTAAAGCTGTAGGATCCAAAGTTAAGCATTGTCCAACCCCGCACTTTCATCATCGACCACCTCCACATCTATATTTTGATCTTCACCCTCATACTGCAATCCAAATCCCACGTTAGATGCTATAAGCAAGAGGTGACAAGGTATTATTATTCTTTTTTGAAAGAAACAAAACCATATTTAATAAGACTAATGGCTTTCTATGTTTTTTTGGTTCAAACTTTTTCATGTTCACAATAGAAATTTGATTTGATTTGGGGAGTAGAAAAGTTTCAACTATATCTATAGATTGAACGAGAAAAATGAAAGGTGAACTTTCTTAAGTAATCGACAATTTTGCAAGACAAAACTGAAGAGGAGTGAAATTTTGAGAACTTGCTAACCCTTGAATGGTTGATTTTATGGATTGGAGATGGTGGAGGGGGCAGGAGAGGCACGCTGCCCGACGCAGCCTCCTTAGTACTTTCCCTCCGATCGCTCACTTCATTGTTAACTTCCAATTCAATATCAACTTCCTCATTAACCGCATGGGCAGCCATGCTGGTTAATGGCACTACAACACCTGCATCTAGACTCCTAACCTGCGAATTTTAGTTGAAAATTAAGTGCATGAACAAACAATAGAATTTACAATGTATGAAAGGTTTCATATTGACATTGCAAGACAGAGAGAGGGGGGGGGGGGGGGTTGTTATNCAAGGTCTAGAAAACAACGATGTTAAAAAACTATGAAAGAACAATCAAACAGATAGTAGCACACTTCAAGCTTACCATAAACTATAGGCTTAGTACTCTATATGTCACAAGTAATCAGACATCCAAGCGCAGCACATAGTAAATTGAACAAACAAATAAAATTGAATAGAAAACTATCAAAGTCACCTTGTCTGCAGTAGAAACACTATTAGATGCCTTTCCCCTCTTCTGCCTGCTTTCATTTGCTTTAGGTATATAATCATTGTTTTCATTGCGAATTGCCTCAATTTTGCTATACACCGATTTAGCAGGATGGGCATTCCACCGAGAGATCCTTCTCAATCTTCCCACTGCCTCTTTACTTCCTTTGTGTAAATCAGCTAATGTAGAATGCACACACAATAAGTATGAAGGGAAAAAAAGGCTCCAGCATGAAGAACATCATAATTAAAAATTATCACAGCCCACCTTAACCACCCCCCCAAAAATAAAAAACACAATAAAGAAAAAAGAAGAAGAATGCATATAAACATCTTCAAAATATGAGAGCTTACTAGGGCTGAGGACATATTAAGAGATTTCAAACCATATAATATTTTTTAAATGGCACATCCACATGAAGAAATTATTAAGTTTCAAACGGCACCTCGTTTTGAGTTTGCCGCAATATCTTGATCAACATGCAACTTCCTCTTGCTTGCAGAAGTGTCCTTATGCAGGTGATGAAGAGGACCGGCTGCATGATAGCTGGGGTCCTCTCCATCGCTTACAATGTTGACACTTGAGTCTTCTTCATTGGCACCAATTTTATTTACATCTGACCCCAGCTGATCTCCCAACTGTTGAAGTCGGAATTGCGACCTACACATTTAGAAAAGTTACCATAATTTCCTAAAAATTATCGGCATTAAAAAATGCAATCAAAAGAATTGGACAAGTATACTTGCCGCTTCAGTTCATCTTGTATCCCTGAATAACGATTATGTGCTTTGACAAACTTCTTGATTTTTGATTTGATCCTGAATATTAAAGATCCAAGAAAAATAGGAAGATGAGCTGGTGTCAATCTTCAGCAGGAAACATGACAACGAATAATGTATCAAAAAGACAATTACTTGTACCTTCGACACTCCTCCCTCTCGTTATATAATTGAGATTCTAGCTCCTGAATTCTAGAAGTCAAACTATCCACTTCTTGGATTTTCTCCTCCAGGTAGACCTTCAAAAACAAAGAAAAAATTGCTAATGTCTTCAATATATATTTATAGAATCATTTAATCGATAGATTTAAATATACATTATCCAGAAAATATTGCTCAATCAAAATACAAATCAAAACATATGACACTTGAGACAGCTAAAAGTACCTTCGCTTCTAATAGAGTTTCACTTTTAACCATCAGAAGAATTAAGGGACTAAGTACGAGCTCTAATAACCAATCTTAGGTCAACCTGATTACAATGTTTGCAACTACTAGACATTAAAATAATCTCTGGGAGATATGAATCCACATTACTGAAACTAAATAGGAATTACAAATATTTACTAGGCATTCAAGATGCTGTGTTCTCTCTTCAAAACTGTTTTCATAATCTACCTACCTTACAAATCCCTAACCCTCTATTGAATACTTCAATCCCAAAACTGACCAACAAGCTCACTCATTCACCTACAGGCTAACACTAACCAAGGGGATGAGCTGGTATGTTAATGACAATTGAAATAAGGAAATATGCATTACCTATTGCCTGCACAAAATTAGAGGCAGAAAGCAACTAAAAGAAAGAGATAATACTGACTTCAGCTTGGTGTCTGTGGTGCTCAGCCATCTCAATATCAGCCTGCATCTTGTTTAACTGTGTAATTCAAAGATGATCAACCAAGATTCCAGAGTAGCAGTTTCTAATAAAAAGAAGATCAAAGTTATAAAACAATTGTTTTATATACCTGCTCCTCAAGAGTGTCTCTAGAAGAAGATGAGATTTTCCCTTCCCGATCTCGCTCTTCACTCCTATCTATAATCCTCAAATTTCCAGCATAATCAGTACGGGAATCCCCATGATCCTTTTTTCTTCTTTTATGGTCACTGGAACAAGAGTGTGTACCATTTCAAAGTATCCACCAGTGAATTACTAATATGCAGTACTTACAAAAAGATAATCGTGTGTAGAAGAATGAACTCAGATCATACTAATATCGTGGCACATAAGACCTTCAAACCTAAAGGCTAAAAGTAACAGAAACTTTATAACTCAAGTATGGCTCAAGAAATCGTGGAATCAGGAACTGGAAGTACTCTCTTATTAAAATAAGAATAAAGATATACAAGGACCTGGAAGTACTCTGGTAGGAACAAAGTCGTTGATATCATATGACCACTCTTGAATGAGAAAAATCTAACAAAGTCGTTGATATCATATGACCACTCTTGAATGAGAAAAATCTCATAAATATACCTCGTGATGACTTTAAATAAACATTTATCCCTCACTAGATATTTCCATCATAGGATCGAATCCTACCTTTCCTTCGCTTGAACTAATGGATTTGAAAATACAACACAATAAAAATGGTGACAAGTTACCTATTTCGTTCAAGTGACCAGGATGAGCTATACTCTGCAATTTCAATTCAAATAAGAGAAATCAGGAAAGAACTTTGCTATTACAACATGTAAAAAAAATATGTAGTCCACATATTCTTTTAAACTATATGTGTGTGCATGTGCGTTAAGAACCTAGCTTCTTACATTCCTTGATTAGAAAATGTCAAAAGGAAACATCATATAAACTGAGGATTGCAGCATAGGCTCCACTTGGGGGGTGAGAAAGAAAAACAAAAAGAAAAACATATGACTTTACTACCACGAGGTCCATGTCGCCCTCTGGAATCCCTTTCCTGCAGGGGAGAGTGCCTGCTGTCAAGCTTATGCCGTAAATCATTTTCTCTATATTCCTGTCTACCTACACAGATGGGAAAATTTAACAAGTTTAGTCAATTTCAGATATTCTTTCTAAAGAATGGTTAATGAAGCAATGAAGATCATACAAGGCTTATCTTACCATTACATGGAAAAGATGAGAAACAAAATAAGGAACAGTAGTAGTGCCGCCATGCCAGTTCCAAAAGATCAATAGAAATAACGAAAAGATAATGAAAAATCCATGCCCAGGATTAAACCATGGAATAACCTTCATATTGAGAATAGAACGAAGATTATACTCCTGTGACCTCGATGAACAGTAAGTTCGCATAACTTTGATCCAAATAGAAGATATCTCTAGGATTCCACATAATGATACAAGAACAGTTCAATGACATAGATTCTCAATTTCGATTCTTCATGCAATTCCCATTAAAATTGCATTACTCCAACAGGAAGTCCATTTGGCATACTCAGGAGGCATAAACCAATGAAGAACCTCTCCTAATAAAAGTGAAGCCCCATGAACCACTAGAGCGTAACCCAGAAGATCGGAATTGGATAATTAAACAAAGGCAGTGGGAGATATATAAATTAAGGAAAACAATTATAATCTTCAATGAGTACTTTCTGGTTTAGCTGATGCAGCACAAGAGCCATAAACATCTCCAGGGATATATCATAGGCAGCTCACATAAAGAAAAATCCACCATATCCATTCCAATGAAAAAAATCTGATCCGGATGATATTTTTTACTAGCCACTTCAGTGACCATGCAAGTTCGAAGAAATTTTTATATCTCGCATTATTGGAATCATTCAACTCATCTATTATAAATATCCATTGGTAGAGGCGTGGTGTCTCATGTGACGACTTGTACAGAACCAATTAAAATATCGAAGATAGACCAACAACATACGCAAACCAAGAACATAAATGAGAGAAATTGTGTTCGTATAGCTATTCATACACAGCAGAAAGAATAGTTTCTTTTTTTTTATAAGACAGCAGACATATACACTTTACCATAAGGAGCGTTCGGGAAATATTACGTATAACTAAGAAATAAAACATACACATTACAAAAATGGCATACAACAAGAATCATGAACAGAAAGAAGAAAGAGTACGGAAGCGAGACACTGATAGGATAAAAAATGCTGTAAATTAAGTCTCAGCATTGACTATATCAAGAGGACCATAATGGAAGAAAAAAAATCCCACTGTTTAGCGTTGAATGTAAGAATAGTCAGCAACAAATATTCAAAACCAACCCCAACAAGATTGGGAGATCAAGAAAAGAATCACATACAACAACAATTGGCAGACACATATGTACTTTAGCGACTACAAACTTCCATTTCATCAACCCTAAACTCCACATAAAGAACATATTACAAAAATTAGAGATATAAAGGGTAAATTACCGGAAGAAGCACCAGCAAATCGCCTGAGTTCAGCGTTCCCGTGAGCGAACGAGCAACTTGGGCGAGAACAGTGTCCTTTCTGATAAAGAACGCATAACTTTGTTTTGAAGAGTTTGCGCCCAATCATCATGGATAAACATAAACAATAACGGAGAAGAAGTATATATTCGAAGTCGCAGTAATCGCCGTTTGTATTTGCAGACAAATTAGACAGAATAAATGTAGAACCGATAATAGAATCCGCTTCTAAAGATTGCCAATAATCAGAAAATATGCAAAAATAGTACAATAGAACAGATTCGAAGGCTCGTAAATTGCTAGAGTTGAACTTTGTGAGCTATCCGAAGCAAAACGCCGACCGCTTGGATGAACACCGTGATGAGGGGTTTTATTTTCTCCTCTATTTAGCTGCTGCTTTTTTTCTTCCGCGCAAAGCAATGGCGGGCTTTTAATTGTAGCAATTTTTTTTTTTTTTTTTTTTGCCCTTTCTGTAATACGTGTCAATTGGAGAATTAGTTTATATATTTACTCGTATATATATTTATAAACTTTAAATTTGATATTTCATAATTAATTTTTTTATTGAAATGGGTCGATAAAAATTAATCAAACCATGATGAAATGAAATCGCCCAATTCATATGAACCATTTACAACAGCACAGTGCTTGCGAATCTGACCCTCAGCCCCATTGTTGACCTCGATCCAGCCCATCTTCTCCCTGGCCAACCCAAATTGGGCAAAGAAATTCTGGGTGGAGCAGTTGAGCTGGTCAATGTTGGACGATGAAAATCTTATATCCGCTAATTTAGAGAATGATTATGGGTTTATAAACAAATAATACTCTCTCCATTATATGAAACCTTTTGGGAAGCCAAACCAAAGATATGAGAGTGAGTTTGTGCTCAAAGCAGACAATATCATACTATTGTGGAGAGTCGTATTCCTCTAACAATTGGTGATGAAGGGCATGCATGGTGACTTTTAAAAGAATTAACTTGGAGCATAGTTGAGTGGTACTTAAGATTGAACAAAATCAAGTTTAGTTCTCATCGGAAGCAAAATCAAATCTTTAAGATCATGACCCTGGTTGGTGAAGAGTCGTCGGAGAGTTGATAAGTTGCCAGACTGCGGAAGAATGTTCGTCAAAGCTTTCAAGAATTTTGAGATTAAACTGTCTCTTCTTCTCGTTGGAACTCTTCATAATGGACCACCCTACGTCACCATACACACCCATTTCCGTGTATAATCTATCTAAAAAAATATAAAATATTTCATTCGAATAGATAATAAAAACTCAACATTATAACAAAGAATCTCCGCACCATATTGTTTGATAATAAAAGTTCCACATGGGCTAAATGATCATGAGCTTATATTATAATCCAACAATACTCCCTCCATTAAAATTATGACTTTTGAAGAAGCCCAAAGCAAAAACATGAGAGCTTCGCTTAACGTGGACAACATCATACTATTATGAAGAGTCGTGTTCATCTAATACATCTAATTCATTTGCCTTCATAAAATAATTGTTTTAATTCTTTTTACTTATAAAATCATAAATATTTAAAATTAAGAATAACATAAAAATTTTGATTTTTTATTTAAAATTAGTTTCCATATAAAATTTTACTGATTTTAGAAACAATTATATATATATAATTAACGTTATCAACTGGCATTTATTTTTCTTCTTCTTTTTTTTTTTTTTTTTTTTTTTTTTTTTTTTTTTTTTTTTTTTTTTTTTTTTTTTTTTTTTTTTTTTT